CCGCTGCGAGGGCTCCGCCGGCTGCCAGCCGGGGTGCCGGCACGAGAACGCCACGAGAGACAACTCCGTCTTGCCTCCTTCGCCTTGGTCGTATTGCGCGTTGCCTAAAAAGAATGTTAAAGGTTATAGTAGTTAGTACACTAAACATGAATACAGTACCTCTAGCACGAAAAACTTTCGACTTCGAAACGTTTGCGTATTCGAATCTCCATGAAAAGATTTAGTACGAAAACTAAAACAGCGCACTTGTGAACGTGTCGTAAAGTGAACTTACTTAGTATGAGAAATAGCACGAAACTTACTTTGACAATCAAAATTGTCACGTCATCGTTTAATTCGAAGGTTGAGCATCGAATTTTGTCGAATACGCAAACGATTCGAAGACGAAAGTTGCAGGACAGGACTAATCAAACCTCTCGTTCCATCCTCACCACGTACTGGCAACTCCTGTGTAGGCAGTATCAGCAGTCAAGCTGTATGATCGCCAAAACCCAACCAGTGAAGACTAAGTTTGTCCCGGGGGAAAGTTTACTCGCAACGAAATTAATAAGAAAAGCATCACATTTACAAGATTGTAAATAATAATTATTTAATTGTGAATACGAAACAGTTTCAATCATTATCACTTTTAATGATTTGTTTTTTTTTTAATATACTTACATTTGGCTTTGTCCCCGTATTTCTTAGGAGCGGCCCAATCTGGATGACCATGACGACGGATGTCCAACTGAAAGAATTGTTTAGTTTGTATAAACACAAGAAACTGCAATTAATTAAAAAGGTAGGTATTTCAATTGACTATGGTATTTTTCTGATTCTATCAAAATCAATCGAAATGGATCAGAAATGCAAAGATCCGCAAGAAAACCAAAGAAACCGATATTGTCCACAGTTTCCACAGAATGGCACATGCCCAATTTAAGTGGCACATAACTCGAAGAGTTGATGGCCGCTGGGGCAGAAATCTTGACTGGCGACCACGGTGGGCAGGCCTCCTACTAAGTGAACCGACGATCTGGTGAAGGTGGGAAGCACCTGGATGCGGGTGGCGCTGAGCCGTTCATTGTAGAAATCTTTGGGGAAGGCTTTTGTCTAGGAGTGGGCATTATTTGAATGAAACGAACGATTTCTTTAGGTGGCGTGACGTCACACGCTGAGCCAAATCATTTTGCAAGTGTACTTACTACTACGTCAACTTTAAGGCGGACTATATCTTTTCTATTTGTAGAATATTTTCATGATTCTTTCACACTTATGTTTAATTTTTCTTATTTTTAAGAACCATAGAAAAACATTGGCAACATCTCCATTGTATTTAAGTAAAATAAATAAAAAATGTTCCAATTGGCTACAGAGTCATACTATTGTACGCTACATACAGAGTAAATAAATACAAATGAGTTGGTCATCTTCATAGAAATGCACCGAGCGCGGTTTGTTTGTGAGCGCGCCAATACGTATGCGGCGCGCACGCACACACTGACAAAATTGAGCGTGGATTTGCGGGGTGTTGCACCGACGTATTGGCGCGCTCACATACAAACCGCGCTCGGTGCGTTTCTATGAAGATGACCTACTCATTTGTATTTACTCTGCTACATACCTGCGCGAAGGAGCAGACGTCGCCGATGCCGAGCACGCTGACGGTGAAGTTGCGGTAGAAGTCGACGATGTCCAGCGCGCGCGCTCGCAGCGACAGCAGCACCAGCGGACAGAGCAGCGGGCTCAACAACTCGTACAGTATGTACGCCTGTGACGCAAAATTAATTGTTAATCTATACTCAACATCAAATAAACCGCACCTTCCGCGACGCGAACTTTAACGATTTTCTTCTGACCCAATCATGGTACCCCAACAATATTGGTGTTATTTGAAAGCCCAATAAATATCCTTAAAGAAAAACACATTTAATTTCTTAATAAATGATTAACATATACCATAAATGTGACTTGAAAAAATACCTCACTTTGGGCCCACCTATGGGATCAATTAGACCAATTTTTATGGTTATAAAACCAAATAATGATTTCACGTGTCCTCTTTAACAGATGGATAGCAATTAAACCCAACTTAACAGTTTTATAGCCATAGAAGTTGGCTCTAGCGTAACTACCTATTTTTTGAAGAAGTGACTCTGGATCCTTCTAAAGACACATTTTTGGGGTAAAAACCTTTCCTTTAATGAAATGAAGGTTAGAACTAGGCTTTTAAATGGTATTAATATTGGTGGGAAGTGGGGATGCATACGTTTGAAAATGCTTGTCGCGGGAGGTGCGATTTATTTGACGTCGAGTGTATAATTGTCATTAAGTCACGCCTCATTTTAGTCCCAGCTCTAAGAACCGCTAGAAAGTCAGCTCTCTATTTTGTCAGCCGAGACGCCGCGCCGACACCGGGCTTTCTATAGTTTAACCACCAGATTACAGCGGAAAGGAATGCCAAGTCTGCCTTTATTATGTAGTATTATGTGCACGTAAGTTTTAAATAAATAAATATGTAAAAATAAGTCCGCGTCACATCGTGTCACTGACCGTGGCAGGCAGCCAAGATTAGGTTAAGTTTACTGACTGACCCCTCGAAACTGGAACAGCTGCTGGAAGTACGCGGCGACGTGCTTGGTGTGCGCGCGGCGGTTACTTAAATATAAACTCCGACAAACGTTACTTCGACATTACGTTACTCCGACACTACAGAATATCGACATAACTTTACTTCGACACTACACTACTCGGACAAAAGCGTATATCCTTTGTCTGAGTAGTGTAGTGTCGAAGTAAAGTTAAGTCGTTTGTCGGAGTAGAAATTTCACTCCCGAAAAGTTCCTACGGGAAACAATGCGGCCATATGCCCACGTCACAGGCGTCACTGACCGCTCGGAACTGGAACAGCTGCTGGAAGTGCGCGGCGACGTCCTTGGTGTGCGCGCGGCCCCGCCACGCGGCCGGCATTAGTGCACGTGCCCGGCACTTGCGCTAACAGCTCCTACTGGGAACAATGCGGCCATATGCTACGTCACAGGCGTCACTGACCGCTCGGAACTGGAACAGCTGCTGGAAGTGCGCGGCGACGTCCTTGGTGTGCGCGCGGCCCCGCCACGCGGCCGGCATTAGTGCACGTGCCCGGCACTTGCGCTAACAGCTCCTACTGGGAACAATGCGGCCATATGATACGTCACAGGCGTCACTGACCGCTCGGAACTGGAACAGCTGCTGGAAGTGCGCGGCCACGTCCTTGGTGTGCGCGCGGCCCCGCCACGCGGCCGGCAGATAGTGCACGTGCCCGAGCACTTGCACGAACAACTCTTCGCCGCGCGCGGGACCCGCGCTGCCCAGACGCTCCTCTTCACCGATCAGCGCTCTGGAAACAATTGACGTGTTGACAGCACAAACCAATGAGGGTTTTCGGGATTGAAAAATCCGCCATATGGCAATACGTAGACGGGAGGAGATTTTGACATATCTGTCAATGTCATATCAAAAATAACCAATCATGCAGCATTTGGACCTCGCATCTACGTATTGCCATCTGGCAGATTTTTCAATCGCGAAAACCCTCATTGACGTACTTTTTAAAGCTGTCGAAACGAGACTCTTAAATACATTTTGTATGGGAATACAAGAAAGTGACGTCACTATTTTGTCAACTCAATTAAACTAGGTACTTTCTTCAATAAGTACAATGCAATCAAAAATCTTAATTTACAGGTAATTTCAATTAATTAAGTTTTTAAGACCGGAGTGAAGTGTCTTTGTAAATAAGTTGTGATTTTGAATTATTGGGGAATGGTGTCAAATAGTTTCTGTATTGACGCCCGCTTAATACAGGGTGTTTGGCGCATCGTGTGCCAAAATGATTTGGCGGATAGAATGGGTCATTTCCTATATTTTCAGCCCCCATAACACGTTCCATGCCAGGCGGCTACTTTTATATTATTTTTTTTAGTAATTTCACCAAAATACCCAAATCGCATCATTTAATTTCGATTAAAAAAAAACTACTAGGCGTAGCCTCAAAGTAAATATTTTGTTTTGACGTGCATTGATGTAGGGTTGCATCAAATCTAAATTTACGGGCAAATATCATCTAGTTTTTTTTTAATTCAGCTTTGAAGTTTTCCGAAAAGTTAAAAATGGACTGAACATTTAAGTTTACATGGCTATAAAAAAATAAATAAAAGAGATAGCGATCTTCGGATTTTATCAAAACTTCTCTAGTCTATCCCCATTCAAACGGTATACTAATCTTGTTTAAATAATAACAACAACTTCACAAATTCCTTAAATTAGTGCATTGACTCTACTCGGACTGATTTGCGAAATTTGTGTTTATAGCCCCTTTTTGTGTGAATAGCACGTTAAATACCTACAGGTAAAAATTATTTATCTTATGCAATGTAAAAACCTTTTCCCTATCGTTTTTCAATGTGGATTTCTTGAAATTAAAGACGAAAATAATTATTTTGATCGTTTATTAATTATTACAAATTTTGTTCAAAATGTCCGCCTCGGCAACGTATACACTCACGACATCTTCTTCTAATTTCGACTGTTGTCGTATGCAGCCACATTTCTCTTTTTATTACTACAAAGGCGTTTTCTATTCGTTGTTGTAGTTCTTCTATTGTTTGAATCCGTTACGTACACCAGTTCTTTAGCTCGTCCCCAGACGTAAAAATCTAACGGAATTAGGTCTGGGGAACGTGCAGGCCACTGTATAGGGCCATCTCTTCTAATCCACGAGTAGAAAACGCCTTTGTAGTAATAAAAAGAGAAATGTGGCTGCATACGACAACAGTCAAAATTAGAAGAAGATGTCGTGAGTGTATACGTTGCCGAGGCGGTCATTTTGAACAAAATTTGTAATAATTAATAAACGATCAAAATAATTATTTTCGTCTTTAATTTCAAGAAATCCACATTGAAAAACGATAGGGAAAAGGTTTTTACATTGCATAAGATAAATAATTTTTACCTGTTAGGTGTTTAATAACGTGCTATTCACACAAAAGGGGCTATAAACACAAATTTCGCAAATCAGTCCGAGTAGAGTCAATGCACTAATTTAAGGAATTTGTGAAGTTGTTGTTATTATTTAAACAAGATTAGTATACCGTTTGAATGGGGATAGACTAGAGAAGTTTTGATAAAATCCGAAGATCGCTATCTCTTTTATTTATTTTTTTATAGCCATGTAAACTTAAATGTTCAGTAAATTTTTAACTTTTCGGAAAACTTCAAAGCTGAATTTAAAAAAAACTAGATGATATTTGCCCGTAAATTTAGATTTGATGCAACCCTACATCAATGCACGTCAAAACAAAATATTTACTTTGAGGCTACGCCTAGTAGTTTTTTTTTTAATCGAAATTAAATGATGCGATTTGGGTATTTTGGTGAAATTACTAAAAAAATTAATATAAAAGTAGCCACCTGGCATGGAACGTGTTATGGGGGCTGAAAATATAGGAAATGACCCATTCTATCCGCCAAATCATTTTGGCACACGATGCGCCAAACACCCTGTATATACAATTAATAAAGGCTTTTGCTCATAAGAAGGCTCAAGGACACCCAAAGGGCGATGGGGCGTACTAAGCTCCGAGTTTTCCTGCGTGATCGAATCAGAAATTAGGAGATCCGCAGGAGAACCAAAGTGACTGACATAGCCCGCAGAATCACTAAAATCAAGTGGCAGTAGGCGGGGCACATAGCTCGCAAAGTGATCGTTTTAGAAATGAAGAGATCCGTAGGAGAACCAAGGTGACCGACAGAATCTGATGACGGTTCTCTAGTAGCGACCACGGACTGGAAGACGTAGGCAGACCTTCCACTTTGTGGTTGTAGAAAACCTTGGTAGAGCACTTTGTCCAGCGATGAACATCTTTTGGTTGAAAAGAACGAACGCCCATAAACTGCAAAACACGAACTGTTACGTGATGAAGACGTGGTGTGAAGCGCACACGGATTTATAACCTACTTAAGTAAATATTAATTATTGTATAACTGTATTAATAATTTTATGTATTTATGCGTGTATCTGTTTACAACTGATGTGCTGTCAGTTTTTGATTCACACGCATATTCCTGCTTGTTAGACGCCAACTGTTACGTTGCTTGTATTGGTAATTATGAGTGCTGCGATCAATTAGTAACGTCAATCACATCAATACAGCATACAACAACTTGCGGCTTTACATTTATCATGAAATTGTACAAAATTACTGTTTTTATACGTTTAGAGCGTGTGGTTACGCACTGTATAGAGTGGTGTGTAACTATACTAAATATTATCTTTGTGTACGTCTTTTTGGTGTCAAGTTTATGAATTTGATTTTTGCTTACTACCTAAATTGTTACAAATCACCAATACGTATTACGATTTCTATGATACACATATGGTTGAGGATTCTGAGTGAAGCTTGCGTCTAACCTTCAGCTTCAGCCTGATCATCACTTTCCAAAAAAATTTTTTAGATTAGAGTCAATCACTGTTGGCTTAAATCTAAGCCCAATGTATGTTTACATAAGTTATATTTTTACCTAGCACCGGCCAGCAGACACCCCAGAATGGTGATGATGGTGAGCACGTGTTCCACAGTCAGCACATCTTCGTCGTACACGGAGAGCATCACCAAAACACCGAGCACACTCGCGGATAGAAACACCACGTTCCTGTGAAGAAAAGAAAACGAAAACAAATTATAAATGCCATTCAGTAGGCCTAAGATGCGCGCCGTGATAACTTTTATCGACGTCAAAATGTATGGGCAAAATCGATAAAATGGCGTGATAACCTCTTATCGCGGCGCGCATCTTAGGCTTACTGCTCTCTTATTTATTTTATTTATTGATAAATAATCACCACCACATTCACGTGTATAATGGTAATAAATAAGTAATAAAATAAAGGTATTAAAACTCCTATTTAAGTTGACTTGAAGTATTATATTTTCGTTTTGATATGGACCAGAGTAAAATAAATGCCTATCTACAAAAATTACTTATACAAGATGTCCAAAAATTACCACGTCGTGATACCGAGGAAAAATAAAAGTTTCATGAGTTTTGTGATATGATATAACTTTTAGTTATCTTTTGTACTAAATGTACCAAAATTATTTTAAGTTTCACATTTCCTTCTGTTACAATAGGTACAGGCCTAATGCATTAATTATAAGACGTTGCATGCATGGTCGCAGTATGTCACACTTTGACTGCGCTTGAAACCAATTGAACAATGTACGAAATGCATACATGAACAATAACACATTTAATGCAAGTACAAATTTTGTGTCAAGGTGGCTGACTTTGCTCGTTATCTTTGATGCGTCGAAAGATTTAAAAGTGCTCGGATTTATCAATTTATAGTTATTTATTACTAGTTTACTTAATTAAATAAATAAATAAACATCTTTTGACGTTTCACACTGCGCCATCTAGTCTTAAACTAAGTAAAGCTTTGTACTATTGATACTCCGCTATTGGTAGACAACGGAAATAAACAACACTTTTATGTAAATAAGTATTTCACAAAGAATTAAACTGCCTATTATAAATGTAGCTTTAAAAAAACAATCCCTCTACAATAGTAAAAAAGGTCAGTTGACTACCTGACTCTTTTGTTCTGTTTTAAATGTTAACTTTCCGGCCTTTAGACAAATCTATATTTGTCTAGCATTCATGCTTGTGAAAAAAATATTTTCTTTCAAAATATTATGACGAAATTCAGCCAGTCAGGTAGACCTTTTCCGTTTTTTGTTTCGTGGGCGTATTTGTAAAAGACCCTATAGTTTTTCATTTTTAAGACCAGTCATTATCATTTCAAAAAGTTGACGACGATACCTGAATTACTTTTTAGAGTAAAGCAGAGGAATACCTTACTGAGGCCCGATTCGACCAAACTTTTATCTGAGAATAACTCCTGGTATAACAACTGGCACATTGACAGTTTCAGTATGGAAAATATGTCAAAATGTCGAATAAAATAACTGACGATTTATTCTGAGATTAATATTTACTTTTGTTTGGTCGAAACCACCCTAAATATACTAACTTGTAGTATACGTAATATTTCTTCCCACGACATCACCCACGTAAATTAAGAATGGGATGTATGCCAAAATGCATGTTGTTATTTCGAACGAAAGTGACGAACAAGATTTTTAGTTTTTAAACTATTTCAATCGCCTGTTCTAAGCTATAAATTAATAACAATGAGAATAACCTTCGCAGTGTTGAAAAATGTGTTCTGTACGTATTTTGCCGAGTAGGTATTTAGGGTGTTAAATCACGCAATGCGCATATATATCTCATGTAAGTAGATTATTAACTAATAGACAGGATATAATTGCAAAGTAACATAAGAATGCGTGTCTTTGCCAACAATAAATCGATACAAAATTATAAAACACACAAAAGCGTTTCAGCAAGAAATAAAAATAAATGCCACGGTCTTATTTATGATCAGTCTATAAAAACTTTGGGTTGGTTTTACTTTGGGTTAAGTTTGTATATCCATTGTCTGTACAAAAAGCAGTCTTTACTTACTTTACTAGATGGCGCTATAAAATTTCCAAACATACATTTTGTAAGACACTTACTTGGCAATAACCGTAGTGATGGGCGACGTGAAACTGGCCAAGTACTTGGAGGCTGGCTTGTGCGCTCTGTTCAGCCGATCTCTCAACTCGTGCTCGAGCTCGTTGAAGTGCCGCAGAGTGATCCGCGCGTATAACGACCAAGTGCGAAGCCCCAGCGACCCCGGCGACCGCTTTATCAACTGGCACAGAAAATTGCACTCGGTCAAGGACAAGTTTGTATACTTCCGATTGGAGGCGAACAACACTATTTTTATTCGGGTCATGAACTGATAGTAATTCTTTAGCCATGATGAATTAAATTCCTACCACGCTAGGATGCGCGCCGAGATACAAATCTTATCATCGATTTTAGACAAATGTTTGGGTTTATCGTGCAAAATCGATAAAATGCCTCGATAAAAGTTTATCGTCGCGTATCCTAAGCCTACTGAATGATAAGAGGATAATCTTTTTGAGCAGTCATCACCGTCACTAAGAACAGACTGCTATTTTGATACATAAAATATGGACACTATGTTATTTAAAGTTAAATCAAAATAAGTAGTTTATCCAACTTAGAATGGGGTACTTATATTTTTCGAATATTAATGACAGCAAAGTTACCTCGGCATAATTGAAGAAGAAATACAGTATCTGCCAGGCCTGTATGAGGGGTGCTAGTAGTAAATTGATGAGCGCCATTAACAAAATCTGTTTCTCCAACTGTCGTGCCAGCAACATTCGCTTGGAGTGATCCTTGTAGAACTCGCGGAGTTGCCAGCAATTCTCCCACGGACTAAAAGGACTAACTGAAAAATACCAAGGCGATAAGAGAGTATTATCTTGAGTATTATGATTCAAAATGGTCAGTTGATACTTACAAAATAACAAAAATTCCAGATTCCATTTTAAACCTCTTGATAAATAGTGAAAATCTCCTATACAAGGCACATGAATCTGTAGTGGAAGCAAATTTTTGTTTACCATAGCTACCATGTAATTATTGAATCTGAAAAAGAAGTGTTTCAATAATAAATACTTAGGTGCTGTGAAGATTATTTATAAACACTTTCATAAAGTAAAATGTAACGCTTTCGCGTGCTACAAATGTTGATGTTTTCATTAAATATGATAAAGATTACAAATCACTGGACATTGCACCGCATGCAATCGTCTTATGCGCGATGCCGCCTGATACTAGTTCATTAGTTAGCAATTGAGTCGATCTAACTTATCAATGAAGCAGAACACGTTAATAAATTGGAATATACACGTGTATCTATCATTAGGAAAATGTATGTGACATACAAATAAACAGTTACAATACTGTGAGCAATAAGTCTCATAATTAGTAATGATAATATTTTTTATTTCCAAAAACAACATTTTTCACAATTAATATTGTGAAAAATATTGTGATAATTCACAATATTACATTACTACTCTGTTAAGCCATGCACACAGATGCTAACCTATACCCAAACTAAGCAGTATAGCTTGTATCTTGGTTTTCTGAGTGCAGTTAACAAGACGTGACCTTTTGTGAAATTGAGCAAGTAAACAGATTGCATGTATTAAAAACATATTAAGTTACGTAATTAATAAATTGTATTCGTTAGCAAAACAGTGCCCCTACGGTTTTAACGTCGGTCTTTTGTTTTTTATATCGTTTCAGCCAAATGACGTCCACTGCTGGACAAAGGCCTCCCCCAAGGTTTTCCACAATGAACGGTCCTGCGCTGCCCGCATCCAGGCTCTTCCCGCGACCTTTACCAGATCGTCGGTCCACCTAGTTTTTTATATACATATACCATATGTGCCAAGCCCAATGCTAGACCAGGTAGAAACGTAGAAACCGGGTCATACAGCGCATTATAATACTTTTGACCAGATTGAATAAGTCCAAAAAAGATACAGGTACAATATTTGAAAAAAAAAAAACAATGACTTTTTGTCTCACCTATAAAAAAACATAACATGAAATAAGTTTGCTTTCACAGCTAAGCATACCTGAGTATTCTGTGATATATGTCTAGCTCATTGATCTCCTGCTTGTGCACGCACATGTGGTGCTCTGGCTGAGCCTCCCTGACTCGGTCTTGTATTGTCGACCAATTTATCCACGCTAAATCGCTCTACAACAAGCATACAATGACACAATCGAAATAAACAAACTATACTACAATACAGGGAAAAATAAAAACGGGGTTTCTTACCTCTCTAATTTTTAAAGCATGATTATAAAATAATTTTGTATCATAAGCGTAATAGAGATGATACACTGATATGACTAATTTCATTAACCAAATGAAAGAGCACAGTGCAACAAGACACCACCTAAAATAAAACATTTTTCATTAAATATCAACGTTGGGTTGAAGCTGGTGCTAAATACTACATGGGAAAATATCATCTATAGCAAGTAAATGAACTAGGTATATCATAAATAAGTAACTAAAAAATATTAAAATTATAGAAAAACAAATTAATACAACCAGAGGCATTGCATGACAAAATCTAGCACAAAGCATACAAACACTAACCATATAAATGAAACATTAGATGCAACAGACAAAGCCAATGCATTCTGAATGTGAAACAAAATTCAAATGAGAGCTGCGCAGGCAGAAGGATCTCAACAAAGGGCTCATACATAGTCAATTCTATCTACTCAGAAAACTTTTTGTTAGAAGAAAAATATTGTGAAATTAACTGATTTAATCGTTTTAACCAAAATATGTCTAGTGATGTACTGCTTAATCCATATCCATCCATAATTTATTGTTCGCATTCTTTTAAATTGATAATATAAAATTATGCAGAAAGTGCTGGAGCTTCCATACATAGTAGTAAAATTATGATGTAGTTTAATTCTTAGCAAACAAGCTAAATATGCACTTTAACTATATGTAATTATGTGGTATTTTTTAACATTCTATATTATTTAGTTACAATACAGGAATTTTGTGCAGATAACAATTATTATTGTGATTGTATTAAAGTAAAAGAAAATCAACAAGCCTTACCATTTCCATGATATAAATGTTACACACTCTTGAGGGGAGTATATTACTTCTTGTAACGTTAACTTTCTGGTTATATTTGCGCTTGCATCATTTCTAAATAGCTTTGGGTAGTTTACGCAATGTACCAAGAAAGTGGAGAACCACACTATAAATATAAATTGTAAAAGAGAGAACAAGTCTGACATTATCATTGGGTAAAAGCCACCCCGGATGTAATATCGGTACATTCTGGTAAAAAATGAGTCCAAATCCTCTATGTGTGTCCATCCTCCTGAAAAGAAATATCCATGTGAGTGTGATAATGCTAAAATCCAACACCACTTGTTTTACTGATTTTTCTTTCAACATAGGTAGGTAAATCATTACTGACAGTTTAAGGAAGTTATTACAATACAATAATTGAATGCCTCAACTAGGAACACTGTTAATATTAATTATTTGGAAAGGTGAAAATACAATACAGACTAACATTAGCTATTATTCAGCTTTTTACTTACATTAGAAATTATTTACTTCAATATTTAGTCAAATTACCGTTACATTACAAAGACTCATTTATTTTATTCAGGAAAATGTAATACAATATTGTTCTTTTTTCAGTAATAATAGTAAAAATGTAATATTGATTTATTTGCTCATTACTAACAATGTTCGCAATTGCAAAGTGCCTATGATCATCACAAATAAATTGATCTTTATGTTTTTATGCAATTTAGCTCTAACAGCCTAACAAAACAAATATTAAAATTTCGAAATAAATTATATGTAAGCAGGGAAAGCATATCATCTAACTGACACAAAAAGTTTGATCAAAACATTATTATTATTAGCCATGTGGTATTTTTGTTTCAGCAAGGACGTGACTTGTGTACTGGAGAACAAAGAGATTAGGCAGCAAAACTTACCTTTGGTTTTGGGTACTTTGTGGATTATCACGTTGGTGGTGTCCTCGTGCTCATGGTCCAAGGTGACCATGGCAGGGAGTGCATGTGGAGTCTCAGCCAGGCTCGCCAAAGGTGGAGTAACTTCGTTGTTTAGCGCGCTATACGTAACACCACGTCTTCCGAAGTGAGCCATTTTATCCCGTTTGTAAATAACACCATTTATTGTTTTATGCGTCTAATTACTTCATGGAGGCCACTTACTATCTACGCATTCTTGACTTTGTCCCAGAAACGTAAAAAATAACTTTTTTCGATCCAAACTTGTAAAATATTAGAGAGTGGATACGGTTAATGCCTCATAATATTTACGAAATGTGTAAATTATAAAACTGAAGGTTTACCAAACACATCTAAACTGAAAAAAAAGATTCAAGGATACAAAGAATTTTGTAAGTCTAGAGTCTTGAATACAATTCACAAACGAAATGACGAAAATAAACCAACGGATGACAGATCCGCAGATTTTTTTTTAACAAGTTAAAAGTAGTGACCGACCGAATATTCGTTTTCGTTTTCGTTTTCGGCCATTTTCGGCCAAAAAATGGACATTCGGCCATATTTTCGTTTTCGGCCAAAAACCAGCCGAAGCTTCGGCCAAACCGAATATCAGAAATACGTGAATAAGATGGTGACGTTTATCGTTCCGATATCTTCGGGAGTGAATCTGATGCACTCATGGTTCCAATCAGACTTGAACGGACGCGGTATTGTCACACTCTTTTGAAGTTTTGAAGTGAGGTTACATTTTAAAGGGTGTCCAGCGAAAATTTTCCAAATTCAAAATTGAATACAAATAAAACCAAAGAGTTTTCATTAAGTTTAATTGTTTCAAAATAGAGTCTAATGCGGATTTGAAATACGCCATGAGTCACTGGTCGATGTGTCTTGCTTCACAGCAAGAAGGTGTCTCACCACACACGGAGAGTACCTCGAAGGAGACACTGAGGACTATTTTTTCTAGCCGCCTCGGTCATCAGATCTCACACCATGCGACTTTTTCTTGTGGGGATATCTCAAGTCAAAAGTTTACAGCAAAACTATCCTTAAATAATTCAGGTTCTGTAAGAAAATATCCGCCGTGAAGTTGCAGGAAAATTATTAGCGCGATTTGCTCTCGCATAGTTGCGAATGTAAGGGTCCGGCTGTGAGAGTGCCTATAGTAAAACGGGCATCATTTAAAAGACATTGCCTATAAAAAAATATATCCGCATTGTTAAACTCCAGTTTGCATTAGTAATAAATAATAAAAAATCATTAATTTATTTGTATGAATCATTTTTGAAGTTGAAAAATTCCCACTGGACACCCTTTATTTCTTCTTCACTTCCCAATATTTCAATATACACCGGAAATAATATTCTACTAAGAATTCATAATTAAATTTTTTGTGTTTTAATGCCGGTATTCTTTAATCAATCCTTATCAAAAACAACTGTCAAACATCATTATGTTTTTGGTCAAAACATTAACGGTTTTCAAAGTTTTTACATAATTTCAGATTGAAATTTGAGAGTTGAAGGTCGTTTTCGTTTTCGTTTTCGTTTTCGGCCGAAAATGAGACTGCAGCCGAAGCTTCGTTTTCGTTTCCGTTTTCGGCTGAAAATCCATATTCGGTCGGACACTAGTTAAAAGTTCCGTTTCATTTCACGCAGAATTTATCAGAACAAAGAGTTTACGAAGACTGTTTATTGAACAACGCAAAAGAAGATGATAAACTGATTTTAAAATAAATTAACATGAAGAATTAGATCAATGCTTAAATTGCTGAGAAAGTCCCCTTCAGTTCAGGCTTATTTTTGCCAGACAAACGATAACTGGATTCGGAGTCGTCTGAGATATCTGCTCTGCTAGACTTTTTCTTCATTAATAACTAGCTGACCCGGCGAACTTTGTTCCGCCTTAATGGCAATAAATAAGCAGACTTTTTTTTTTAATTTCGAACGGGATGAAAAGTATCCTATGTCCTTCTCCTGGCTCTAAACTACCTCCCAGACAATTTTCAGCTAAATCGGTTCAGCCGTTCTTGAGTTATAAGCGAAGTAACTAACACGACTTTCTTTTATATATATAGATAACTACTGTCGGCACCACCACCTGCTCTTTTCTTTCCTTCTTCCCTTAGAGAATTATACCAATTAATTCCTTTATGCTTCTTCCTTTGTACCTAAGTAGGTAATTTTCCAGCATTACCACCTGCACACCTATGTTCGTAACTGTGCTAGCTGTTGATCGTCAGTATTTTTTTTCCCGAAAGGGTGTGACTATCCTCAAGGTGTTTCATGATGCCCAAAAATATTATCTCAGTGTTTTGAGGGCTCCATCAAATTGTAGGTTTTAGAAAACTACTTAATGGCGCCCCTGCAGCGCTTCTTCATACCTAGGCGGGACGGTCTTCTAGGGTTTCTGAAGGAATTTGAAACCAGAGACGCAGGCAGATGACCCAGTAAGTAGTTGTATGTTATAAAAAAGTTCCTAACCACCTTGCTTGTAGTGCCATGTCAGATAGGGTAACAGTAAATCCTGCAGATTCCTGCAGTAGGTAAATCTTCCACCAAGGCGGACCTGAGCGGAGAGGTGTTTTGAATAACCAATCAGATTTCATTATTTCCACTTCTCCTCTTCGCTTTACACAGCTCCGCCACGGTAGCTCCGCCGTCGCTGTCACATTCTATATGTATATAAAAAATAATCCGCCCGACACTTCTCCGCTCAACCAGTGGCGGCGTAGCATGGCTTGGCACCCGGGGCGATCACCCCCCATGCTCGGGACTATGGCACCCCAGAGGCCCAGAATGGTCAGGTCTGGTGGCCCCTAGGATTTTTGGGTTTGATGTTCACGGAAGGAGCCTACATGAAGGAAGACAGCGCATGAAATCGAGTAGGTATAAATAAAAAATGTATCTATTTCTATTTATCCGACTGCGCCAGGAGGGGTTTTTCGAGTGATATGAAATGTTATATTTTATGTTCCTTTGGTAATAGTGTTTAGATGTGCCGTCGACAGCACATCAGACTATACGTTTATATTGCAAAATAGCCAGTATTACAATACAACGAGATAAGACGCCGCTGTGTTTAGCATAATGTTGATAATGTGCTGTGCTGTCATCTGCACCTAAGAATCAAAATAATATTAGCAAGCAACTACGAAAATAAAGAACACTGTGTAGAAGGTAAATCAAATTGAAACTAGTTTTATACGTCATAAAATTTACAATTTATTGCATTGACTTTACCCTTACAATAAATCACGATACAAATGTTTATGTCGGCTAGAAACCAATATTTTACAGTCATGTTTTTAAATTTATTTTTCTTCTGTTGTTGTGTACTGCAACTCTTGATATAGTACGTATTCGTCGCCGGACTATTGCTTGTAGTGACAATTTTTTTACACCTTACTAATAATACTTTATTAATTTTAATCAAGCTAATAAAACATAGTAAAGTTTAAAGTTTACCTTTGCTAGATAACTGTGTAACGTTAATTTAAGAATACTCCAGCGACGTGGAGTCACGAGCATAATTATTGATTACACTGGTCAACAGTGGTTTTGGTGCCAAGGAACTGTATACATTTTTTGATTGAGGACCTTTTGCTGGTTGCTTTAGTACCAAATTTGTTGATTTCCTACGTGTGGTTTTCTAAATTTTGACGTGTATAGAAAAATACAAAATTTGACCAAAATCAGCGTTTATAATATTTTTAAATGCTTAAAAACTTTATTTTCCACGACTTTTGTGAATGAGGTGTAATGGAACTATCACGTTACATCCTCCAGCAGTAATCAGCCATCATATACCGATCCCATCTGCCTTGGTACCTCTCTTCCAATGGTTTTTATGCCTTGATAGCATCGCTCTCCCTATTCTTAGCTATAGCATGCTATAGTGACCCGAGATTCTCTGGGAATTGGTCAAGATGACTGTGGAGGTAGTGCTCTTTGATAAAAATTATAACATCCTGAGTTTTTAAGGCATGTCTCACAATTTCAGAGTAGTTACTGGGCTAGTGATTTCCGAAAAAAAATTTTGTAATTTTAATTAAGAAAATCTATGCAAATCGTTCCAAATAGTCCATCGAACTTAAGAAATCAGTATCTTGATTTTTATAGACCATTAAAAATTACTTAATAAATTAATAAAATAAAAAAAAATATGCTCAAACTAGGATTTTTTTTTGTTCTTTCCTCACTTTCTCCACTCTGAACTTCATGTTACGGGTTCTTTGACCATTGTAACATGGCCTTAAGTGTTCACAGCAGATTATACAAACAATTTTGGGTATCCACGACTTGAATACAGCCACAATTTCCGACTTAAAGTAAGAAAAATAAGCACTTTTAATAAAATATTGACTGAATTTTTGAACTTTTTAACTGTGTACACACCACAAATGTAACAAAAATACATTTTGATTATTGAGACAACTTCTTGGCGATGTAGACATGATATTAAAATAAATGCATTTATAAAAATGTACCGATAACACTACAAACTGTGCAACCAAAGTACCGATTAAAGCTAAATTTTAAAACTGAGGGTAGATCCAAAACTACACGTAGGAAAAAAAAAAGAAAAATATTTTTATTATTACTAATACACACCTAATAATAAACTATCAACAGAATCTCGGCACCATTTTCATTTTGATTTTTTGTTGACCAGTGTTATTTCTTAATACATTGTTCGTATAATAAGAATATTTATGCTTGTGACTGTACTTACATAAAGGAAAAAACGTAATAACAATGTACAGTTTTCTTCATGTGACTATAAAATGATATTAGCAGCTGTCACTTTCTAACGTTTTTAGCTAAAATGTAATTTCGGGGAATTCTAGATGAATAATTGGATTAATTTAGTCAATTTAATTTCTAAAGTTAATAACTGGACTATACATTGCTTTACTTACATGCTCTATTAAATTATTGAGAATGAGACTTAAATAATTCGATAAATTATTAATATGTTAGCGTGTGATTTTGGTTGATTATTACCGATAAATTATTTTTGTACGCACTTATAATGATAATTATTTTTTAACAAAAACAAAATAATGTAACATATTAAAATTAATAAAAACCTATACATACATAAAAGTCATCTCACACTATTTGTAACTAAAAGTTTCACTGGATATTACTCATAACCAAAATTTAAATGTAGCAATGTAGCATAACAAACACAGGTACAATTATTAATCGTTTTGTTTGAAATCAAATTAATAGAACAAAAAATAATTACACTTTATAAGACAAAGATGTCGCATTAGTCTCTTTTTCTTTTTCTGTAAAGTGCGAAGGTTGTAAATTGTAGAAAATATTTATAAAATGCCTCTTTGGATGAAACACTTAAAATAACAACATCCTTATCTACAAAAAATACGTAATTTAAACAAAACTATTTCATCATGATTTTTATTCTTATCAAAATGTGTAAGGTGGTGTATTACAATATTATATTATAGTACATATTTTCACAGAAGACAAAAACCTGTTTTCAGCTGTAAAACCGTAACTGCAGATGAAAATAACGTATTCCATCGTTTCATAGTAGAAGAAGGAATCAAACCGTGAGTTTAAGGCATTTATAAACATTTAGAAAAGATTAGTGTATTGTTTTTGTTTTAAAAAAGCTTACGACTTAACGCAAATTATTCTGTATAATATTAAAGCAATGCATGCAATGCTTAGGCAGCATAGAATTTCATATTATAAAGGTATTTAAAAATCGATGAATGACAAAGATCAGCATGTAATACCAGAAATTACTACGTGACCTAGGCTTAGATTAAAAGAAAATTGATCCCCGAATGTGTAATAATTGCGCAGGTAAAAACTGATACTGTAGATAACGCGTATTGTTTACGATGATTAAGAAATTAGAAGACTCTGAAAATGTTTTTGCCGATAACGCACCTACGTATATTGGCAAAATTTCATCATCATCATCGTAAAAGAGAAGATATAAATATCGTAATAACATGATTTTATGATTATTGCTTTAAATTATATCATCGTATCAAATACTGACTCAAAGTTATCCACTATCACAAATACCAGTAAGTATTTACTGCGTATTGTTTACGATAATTAAGAAACTAGAAGACTCTGAAAATGTTTTTGCCGATAACGCACCTACCTATGTATATATTGGCAATATTTCATCATCATCATCATCGTAAAAGAGAAGATATAAATATCGTAATAAGATGATTTTATAATTATTGCTTTAAATTATAATACCAGTAAGTATTGACTGCTTTTTACGTGCAATATGTAACATTGTCTTTCTCAGGGCAATATTCGGCTCGTACATCTACGACCCAATCAAGCAAGTGTTCGAACCCAAGAAAGAGAGCCACGACCGACCACAGATCGTGAACAGCTCGTACGTGCTGTCAACGGCAGTCGGGATCACCGACGACCACCACCATCACCACAACACCAGCGATGCCATCTACAGGCATCACGTCACCATCGTCACTCCACGTCCTACGCAGTGGTGGGCGCGGAAACTGCCCAAAAACATTACCAATATACGCGGCGGCATACACTGATTAAAAAGAAATTCGGTTCGATTTTTTTTTTGTTTTTGTCAATTGGTAACAATACAGCCATACTGAAATACTAAAAAATAAAAAAGCAGCGCGTAATGGTTAGATATAACAGCAAAATTTTCATATAGGTGTAAAATTAAAAATAAAGATCAGCCTAAAAACGTGCACTAACCCCTATGGTAACACATAACAGAAATTTTGTTGCATAGGGGTTACTTAAAAATTAGGGATTGATGGTGAAAACGGCACTTTAATCTAATACCTAGGCACTTTATAGATTACAACACGATACAGTAGGTACTTCTTCGTTTCGACTTCGAATCGTCTGCGTATTCGAAGATATTCGATACCCAGCGTTCGAATTCAACGATAACGTGACGATCTCAATCGTTCTTAGTTCGTATCTTCTGTAGTCGAGTTACATGTAATGGAGTCACAAGTCACAACCTTTCAAACTTTATGATGGAAATAGAAGCAACTGGACTATTGCTAGGGCACCTTTATGACGTAATACCACGCATGGGCGGAAGCGAGTAAACGGTGGACGGGTCGCGGTTACCGGGATGGCAATTTATGACGGTCACCGTGTCAATCTTAATTCTACATTGGCGACTGTTACGTGACATTTCAGCTGCAGGGGAATTGAAAATAGGTATTATTTAATTACCAAACTAGACATTTTGCGATGAATAAACCTGAGCACAAGAACACATTCAAGTCTGTGATTGGTCTAAATACTTATTAAATTCTATTGTGCATAACTTGGATTGAGGAAAGGCGCTTTTACACGAAAAATGAATAATTTTCATCCCCACTCCACTGTTTTTTTGACTTGACTCGGCTAATTTCCGCGCAGTGTAAAATCCGCCAAAAAGGTTACAATATTTAAACCAAACCCAGCCCCCTTAGACAAAACGCACTTTTGATCGAATCGAAAATCGAATCCGTCAAAACTCCATACAAAAAAGGGGCTTTTCGACCACTTTTCGACTGGTTTGCGATTATAATTTGCACTTTGTCTAGACCCACAGAACAGAATCTATGAATCGAAATGTTGTGATCGCCTCAACTCTTGCTGTGTGACATAACATACGGATCTAATTCGCCCATAAAATTGACCGTGAGAATGACAGACTAATTGACTTTTTCGTTGGAACTTCGCGACGAGTTTATCGTGACTCGGGAGCATGATTGATACAATATTAACTTGATCCCTAATATAAATGCTAACAATTCCGGTTTGACTGAAAATGCATTACAGTATTATTTTAGAAAGAGATCGGTAAATATGATGTCATGCAACTCCTTATTTTGTGAAGGAATAACAATAAAAAAAATTACAAACAGATAAGTATAATCCACACCACAGTGGTTCAACAATATACGCAACACCACCCTACCAATTGTCATGCATTTAACGATTAAGGAATAATACGATTTCATATTCTATTAAGAAACAGTCATTAACTGATCAGAAATATTTTTCATACACCACATTATTCATTAAAAATACTACCTATAACACTACCCCAAATGCTATGCTAAAATATAGTCCCACTATTTTGAGCAAAATTAAGGCTTATTTAACTACGACTTATACCATCCCATAAATACACAACACCTACATAAAACGACACTTGTTTTTGTAAATGAGAAACAACTGTTAGCACACCCTAATAATTCAGATGCCCACACATTAACTTATTGATTTTGACTCTTACAATAAAAAACATAACATTCAAATTCCAACAATTGCACTGTAAGCTAATGTGCAAATTGAATCACTACAACACTAACTGGGAAATTTAAACTAATAGGTAATTGTTTTTAGAACTATTTTAACCTTTTCATTGCCACATTCATTCTCTTATTTACAAAGTTGTAAGACTTGCTGAAAATTGATTTATTTGTGTTGAAATAAAAAGGTTAATAAAGCTTCAACCAAACCGACGCGTGCAGATCGCAGGCGCGCGCCGGCGGTGATCAAAGGCCAATGACAGGTCGCGCAACCCATGACAGTTCACTCGACCTGTCATTTCCCTATGATTGCGCCGTGTATCACCGGCGATGGCGTTCTACACGCGTTGGTGTGATTGAAGCATAAGTCTCTACATACATTTTTGCACTTTCCTGTTTTCCTACACAATTAAGAATATTACAATATTAATTGTAAATGATTTCAAGTAAAATAATATACACATTACTATACATTAAGGACACCATAGCTTATTACCATAATATATCCTTATTAAAAATATGTACAACGCCAAATACTATTGATAGGAATGTGATTGCAATTATTGCTCTAAAATACCTGTAACAATAATAATAAAAATAATTTATTATTTCTCCACAACTAATATTATTTAAGTTACAAATAAGCTAGAAACAAGAAAAAGTAATGGCCAAAAACAAACTTATCATTAAATTCTTGAATACTAATGGCTCTTCAAATTAAAATAAAGTGGTAGTCATATTAAACACAAGCATGTTTTTAACTTGAATGACAAGCTATAGCAAGACCATAATTTCATTATTAAGTGATTACAACAAATGTGAATAAACATTACCATGTGAACTTTGATCTTCGCAGCATCCTTATTATACTTTCGGTTTGGTGTCTCATATTAACAAAGTCACCTGAATTGTCTATGACAAAATGTGACTTAGCAACTTTATCTTCCAAAGGCATTTGACAATTGATCCGCTTTTTGGCCACCACTTCTGACATGTCATTACGTTTACATAACCTTTCTAATTGCTGGAAGTCCTCGCTGGAATTGAATATTAACATTTTATTTATTTCAAAATTTAACCAAGTACTGCATTGATTTATTAAAGACCTAAAGTATTGTAGTCAATCCTCAATTAAATATAATAATATGCAACTTACCAAACAACTGTGATAATTTTATGCATAAAGGTTAACATTTTTCCCGTTTCAAACAATAATGGCACTTCCATCACAATGTATCTATGTCCAGAGAAAAAATATGATACAGCCATCTTCATCATAGCACTTTGTATTCGAGGATGTGTTATGGCATTAAGTTTTTTTCTCTTGTCTATGTCATCAAATACTATTTCCCCCAGCCGTACTCTGTTGACTTTACCATCAACGCACAACACCTCATCACCGAAATACTCTCTCAATTCTTTCCATGCCTTTGTTCCTGGTTCCAATACTGAAACAAGGTTAAAAAAGGAAGATGTAGGTGACATACCTTAAATGAAGCTCACTATTGAAAGATTAAGAAATGAATATTATGGGTTCTTTTTATTTAGCATAAATAGCTTAAAGGTTAAATCTCGCAGCCAGCAGTACATAAATACTATCAGTGTGCCTTCAAAAATGTTTTATTAACTAAACATAAATCACTTGCAATTAATTGCTTTTGCATAGTTGAACAAAAACAGTAAAATAGTCACTTGATGCTCAGCAGTTAACATTTACTATGTAAGTATCATTGGATCCTGCAAATATGGTTAATGTAGGTAACAAAATTTCGCGGGGCAGTTATTGTAGGGCAATCGCACGGGTAACTCGCTCATCAGCAAAAAAATATCGAGTAATTTGCAAATAGAAATTGTAAAGTGGAAACACCATAGCATACCTTTTCGGGCTACTTCATCAGCATCAATCACAGCTACACCATGTTCGCGAAATATAGAAAGCACTGTACTTTTCCCCGTTGCAAGGCCTCCTGTAAGTCCAACAATGAACATGTTGCTGGTGTGGACAGACCTGTTAACGCAACCGAAAGAAGTGCTTGATCCAAAGAAGTCGGAACTAGAGCTAGATAACTAACAACAAGACATGAAATTAAATTAAGAGTAAAAATCTAAAATAAAAATTACTCTAGCGAAGAAACCAAACCACAATAGACCACAATGCAATTTGTGGGTGGTTCAATCGATTTTGAGTTTCGATCGACATTTCTGACTTTGACAATTCTGACATTGACGTTTGCAAAAATCAGGGTTGCCCAGTTTAAAGAATATTTTCTCCCACTTATCAAGGATGTTATGGATATCCGTAACCGTAACCGTAACTATCGGATATCTGAAATAAAAAAATATCCGTAACCGTAACCGAAACCGATTCAAAAGTTTTGGATAAAAGTGGAGTCTAAATCTTAATGTTTTTTAAAATTTATTTTGTTAGTTGTCTGGCATTCCCTGGCACAATCTAATATCCCCGCCTCACCCGCCTGTTTCACCTTTATCATAGGTGCCGTCATAGTAGTACATTAAGTAGATATGTAGGTCACGCAGCATCTTGCTATTTGAATTTTTACATTTTTAAAATTGTAATATCCGTAACCGTAACCGAAACCGGTATAATATTATTGTAATATCCGTAACCGTAACCATAACCGAAACTTCATATCCATAACGTCCCTACCACATAATGATACGCAATCAGTGTACTGCCTGGATTTAAACAATAAAATCCAAAAATGTTTATATTATTATTGACAACCAAAAAATCATTTTCCTTTTCCATGTTGACTATTGACTGTTATGTGAAATTTTGTTGTATAGATATCATCCTTAATCAATTTTTGTTTTCAAAACGTGATTAGATTTCTAAATCAAAGCTTTAGTTCAATAGCACAGAGTAAATGGTTTTTAATTTCAGTGAACATAATTTAAACAAAGTATTTTGTAACGAAAAAACATCATAATAATTATCCCTTTTAGAGGTATCTTCATTCATACGCTTGCAACCCTTATTTTGACAGATTCATTGTTTAATTTGTTGCGTTTTTGTTTGTAGACAAAGACATATTACCATACAGTTAAGTCTTCTATTTTCAGTTGAATTAAACCACAGTTAAACTTATTAAAATTATGTACAAAAATGACGATAGATTATATCCCTTTCCTTCACTTGATTTACAGCAAAAATGTGGCGCTTTTCAACTTTCTAAACTTCTTGAAAGAATTTTAAATCTGTTGTTGCACTGCTTTATTATTTCATTTGCCTACTACACCCAGACAGCAGCCTACACTCATCATCACTCATGGATGGTTAACTAATAATTATAAAATGATTAGTCGGCTAGTCGGCTAAACACAAAATAAACGTTGTAGTTACCTCCTTAAATAAATATAGTAAATTAACAATACCTGCCTACTGCCGAACATGACGCTTACCTAATACTTTCTCGGCAAAAAATTGACAAGGAAATACAAGGCTACTACTAGCAAATAAATAAAAATACTTTAATATAATACAAATGTTTTTTAAATTTATTTACTAACCCTTCAAATTATTATTTGATTACTTACCTACTTTATCAAATCATAGTTTTATCATATTCGAACCCGGGACATCTGAGTCAGGTGATCTTACAGGAAGACTACAGAGGCGGCTAAAAGGGCAGTTTTAAAGTTATAAGGGTGGGTGGAAGGCCAGGAAGGAAAATGCAATACAAATCCATACTAAGGCGTTTAGGATACCATCCTAACCTACCATCACGCTACGGTATCGGATAATGAAGATTACTTAATGATGCCTATGAAGTAATTAATCATAAAGGTTAATCCGGCACCGGCTACGACCAATAGAATATTTACTATTTAAATTACACACTATTTATTATGTCGGCTATTATGTAGTGATTCAGAACGGACTACTATGCCGAGAGGTCCCGGGTTCGATTCCCGGCCGGGCGTTCCTACAACTACACGCCATTGCTTGCCGAATGAAAACGTATAGTTAGTATAAGCCCCCTGTATCTACCTACTTATTAAGCACCTAAGTAGAGGGATTATTTATTCCAATAATCCTAAGTGGCGACTGGCGGCGACCAATCCAGTGGTAACACCAACGGGGAACACGTCACTACATGAAAAACACGGCACTACCTTGTGGCACTACTTTTATAGCTTTACCTTATCAGAGCCCCGATTACGGTAATTTTTAACGTCAACAATCCAGACACGCTTCTCGATTCTGCGATACGATTGGTCGTTCAACAGCGTACGTCAGCTGTTTTGACCAATCGTATCGCAGAATCAGAAACGCGTCTGGATTGTAGACGTTATAAAAGTTACCGTAATCGGGGCTCTGTTCGGCCGTCTTCTACAGCTTAGCTCAGACTTACCTTGCAATTTGGCATGGATATGTCGCAGTCGGATTAAATAATCCGCTGTATTATATTATGGCTAGCCGTTTTGTAATACGGTGGTTTAACTGATCTGCGACAAGTACACAAATTCACTTGAAATAATAAAACACTCAAATGTTGTCAGAAGTTGTCTGTAGTTAGCCTAAGTTTTTTTTAGTAGATAGATAGTACATAATAAGACTTACTTACTTAGGTAAGTATACCTACATATATCCCGCACCAACCGTAGATACTTCATCGAGTATGATTAACATATTTATTGTTGATCCCTCAAAAACATGAGGATATGAAAATAATAATATTTTTTACGGTAAATGTGATAAATTGAAAATTATTAATAATCGCCGGTTATTATGAATAATTTTTAATTACCGACAGACGAGGTAGTGGTTAAAGACACTTTATTTCACATAAGAATACGACTGATTCACTTACTGAGAAACTATCATTATAATATTTTTTTCAGGTAAGTAAAAGTAATAAATTAAATGTTTTAACTTAGGTGAAGATTTTAAGGAGTTTTTAAAAAATATTGCGTAATCAGTCTCTTTGTCTAGTTAAGTATTCATAAAGCTTATTTATTCATAAAATACTTTGACATCGGAGCAGAAAGCGCTACCTACCTACCTACCTTAATAGGGGATTTTTGTGTGTGAACATGTCGCGGTAAGAATTCTGCTACGGCATGCGGCCACTTTCCATGACCTACCTAATCGAGTTATTCTGACGCTAGCTGTCAACGAACAGGGGTGGATTCAGATTAAAAGAGGGGTCGTTTTATTTTGGCCGGGGTTGATGGTGGGCGGGGAGGCTACATTAGGGCGGGGCCATACTATCGGAGTCCTAGCCCTCTCTGTTCACTCACCATTTCAGTGGCATGCTCACTGTGTGTCGCATCCCACTGGTGTGTGGTAGAGTGCGGTATTAAACAATGCGGGTGTAGTACGAAATATTTTTGTGGCAAAATGTTTGACATGGAAAGTGGTGGGACAGTGCGGTGTCCCGCGATGGAGGCGGCCGCGAGCGTGGCCCCCTTGGCCTCAGATGGGTCTCCATCCTCGGCCAACAGTTCAGACCTGTTTTTGTACGACGACTCCTCGATGTCAGACGGCAGTTTGTACGCCAGCGATCAAGAAAATCACTCAATTCCTAGAAAAAGGTAATTTTCTTTTTAATAACTTTAATATGACAAGTAATTAGTCATATAAAGGAACAAATTATGTATTATCACAATAAGGAATTAAAACGTACTTATCCCCACTGTAGAAACTAATAAAAGAATACGTTGTTAAATCAACAAAAATACTGAATTGGCTGAAATAATCGAGACAAAAATGTGCGCATTGCGAGTTACAGTACTTACCTACTTGTAGTTACTAGTATTCATTACTTTCTTGAAATGCATGAAAAGCAAAGCGAAATAAATGATATAACATCATATAGTTCATTATTGTATTAAAACATATTTCTAATGTTGGTTTTACCACGAAAATTAACTGGATCACACAAAAATTAAGCATAATGTCAATGACACATCTACTTACACACACAAAAATTTCGCTTGTACTTCTTTTTATGTCCGACCTGGGTGCGGTGAATGCCTAAATTAGGTAAATAAATAAATAAATATTTACAATACCAGCGAGATCAGCAGAATTAACGAATTAACTAAAATTCCAATAGTTATTGGTGATCAAAGTCGATATTATTATATAATATTGCAAGGTGCTGGCAATGAAACGGTTCACGGTTGCAATAATGCCCACTAAATATATAATTATCAGGGGTTGAATGAAGTAATTGTTGCAATTTTCATATCACACTGACTGAAATGATAGAGGTGTAGTTTATGAAACGTGTCTAACAAATAGAACTGTAAAAACCCGTCGTTGAAGATACGGCAATAAAGCATAAATTCCCTTGTGCTTACTACAAATAGAAACTGCATGAGAATTCATTCAGCGAACTGTAAGGAATTGTAATTTCACATCGAATATTTAAAGTCTTACTTCGTATGCGCTATTTCAAACCCTTCAACTGAAATATTTTTTAAGTAAGTTATTCACATCACTGAGCACTAAGACCGACGATCTGGTGAAGGTCGCGGGAGGTGTCTGGATGCAAGCGGCGCAGGAGCGGTCTTTGTGGAAATCCTTGGGGGAGGCCTCTGTCCAGCAGTAGACGTCTTTCGGCTGAAACGAACGAACGATATTGTGTCCAGTGGGCATAGTGTGAGTTTGCATCAATCCGACATACATTTAAAGTTACTTTTTTACGCAATCACTAGTGAAGACGTTTCATGGAAACTCACTACACTAAGGCCCAGAACAGACGGTGATACGCAACTGCAACGAAACTGCAACTTTCTGATGAATGAAACTGAAATTGAAAGTTTCAAACTGGTCGCGTCATGTGTGGTCTCTCAACGGACGCTATGGCAGAAACTTAAATGCAACTCAAAAGTAACTAGCAGTTGCAGTTTCGTTTCACCGTCTGTTCTGGGCCTAAGCCCTCAGTTTCTCGGCAATTAAAGACTTGTAAACTCACAGGCCAGAATGTCGGCGGTTGCACAAGCGTCGCTCCCGCTGCCCCCAGCAGCAAATTCAGCAGCGCCAAGCCGCCAACTTGCGCGAGCGCCGGCGTATGCAGTCCATCAACGATGCTTTCGAAGGCCTGCGCGCACACATCCCAACGCTGCCATACGAGAAGCGCCTGTCCAAAGTCGACACGCTCAAACTGGCCATCGGGTACATCAGCTTTTTGGGTGAACTGGTGAGTCATGTTCCATTCTTCTTCCATTCTCGACCTTCACTGGTTCGGTTTCATTGGGGGCCAAGCTGTAGATCCTGGCTATACAGGAGTTGCAGAGGTGGGAAAGAGTGGTGGGATAAGTCCATGCAGTTATTCCTGTACGTTGTAATAGGTAATAATCCTACAAATTTTCCAGGATGAACCTATTTGATATTATGACTCGATCTGAGCTCAATCTATATCATACTTTATCGGCAATATAAATGTGTTCTGGGCGTAGATAAAAAGTGCCCACCTTCCCACCGGAAATCGTATGATGATCTCTTATTAAGGGGATATAACAACCACAAATCCTTACAGTTACAACTTACAACGCATATCGTTTATACTCACAAAATAAATACTTATTCACTTACCTACCTAACCTACATTTCTCAATCATGTTCATGAGAAAAAATGAACATGATTGAGAAATGTCCATGAAAGTAATTTAAAATTTTATTACTAGAGCTAGACCTCTCTATGAATGAAAAATATTTTCAAAGGAGACATACTTTTTGTGCTAAAATAGTCTTGGATAGGCACACCAGACACCAGTAAGAAATATAATATTGATCCCGCTTCAGGAAGCACAAAAGTCGTTCTAAAAGCTTCTTACGTATCATAATCCCTTTGTGATTTCACCGTAACGCCTAGACGGGAATCGTAGCGTTGTCGTAGTATCGTAGACAAGCGTAGACAACATGCGCCGTAGCAAGACGTAGCTCGTAGGCGGGAATCTTCGTAGAGCCTTGTAGATTTCTTCATAGCGCAAAGGACATTATATTTTTTTCCGCAATATTGGTCTACGACTTTTTTATATTTTTTTAACTACTCGCCCTTTCAATGAAAATATTTTTGTTTCTAACAAAACGTTTTTGGAGAGTCTAATTAAAAGTCCCGAAATGAAAAGCCTAGAGCCGGGTCTAGACGGATATAATATAAGATTACTGAATTCTACGTGTGAACGGCACTACAAGCATTACGTGTAAAGTGCTTCCCATACTATTTCCATTACATTACACGATACATTACATTACGCGTTACACCCTTCTGGATCCGGCTTTAGCTTTAAAACCACAGCATAATAATATCATAGTAATAATAATGAGTATTTTGATAATATTGAGCTACGATAAACAAAAGCAAATTATATTTATGACCAAACCAGAGACGTCTTCTTACCTAACATTATTAGACTTTTACATTCTGATAAAAGATAACAATATCGTATAATATATCGTACCAAATAGGTATAATATAAAATGCGTTACGAGTACTATGTAATGTAACCATGCTGTCTTATTTAATTTTTTTAGTGTTGTTATAATACTTCAGTAATGCATATTTTGTTCTAGGTACGGGCTGACAGAGATTCGCCGGATTCAATGCTGTCAGGAATGGGAAATGTAAAAAATAAGGAAGAACAAAAGAAAGTTATTATAAGAGGTAAGTAACGACAACTCATTTATCAGCTTAAAAGAGAATAAAAATAGAATTCTAAGTTTTGCAAGATCAACTTTTTATCAAAAAGTTGCCTAAATTATGTAGCAATTTTTCTTTACAAATCATCATAAGGATTGACTTTAGCGAATTGTTTTGAACAAAACAAAAGTAGTTCAAAACAAAATGCGAACACGTTCTATTCAGCAACATCGCCAGTAATAATGAGACCTATTATTAGCCGCCACAGTTGAACAACTTTGTTCCTAAACTGTAATAACTGCAATTTTCGTTTAATTATTCACACTACTGCACCTCTAGCATGAACAACTTTCGTCTTCGAATCGTTTGCGTATTCGACAAAATTCAATAAGTACTCAACCTTCGAATTAAACGATAACGTGACAATTTGGATTGTCAAAATATTAAGTTTCGTGCAACTATTTCTCATACTAAGTTCACTTTACACGGTTCACAAAGGCGCTGTTTTAGTTTTCGTGCTAAATCTTTTGATGGCGATTCGAATACGCAAACGATTCTAAGTCGAAAGTTTTTCGTGCTAGATGTACTGAGTTCTGAACTATGAAAATAACGGACTTAGGTATTTAATAATGAATGAAACCTACTAGTGTTATTGGTTACGGCACGGTCTAATAATAGGTACGCTGATGGTTTTATTACGGTGAATAATGATGGAGTGACAGGAAAAGAGAGATCATTTTGAAACAATAATAGCGCTTTAAAAAATGGCTATAAAAAACTAAACTATATTAGGCATTCTTAGATAATAATAAATTGGAAGTAAAACGGTCCCTAAATAGAGTCATGAAATCATGGTATACATTTTGAGTGATTTTGTGTATTTTTTTTCGCTTCGTTTTAACAAAAGCAGTAGGTAGGTACATAATAGTATTTCTAGAGCAGTGTTTTTCAATAATAATATGTTTCATGACACGACCCCCTTAGCATGAAATAATATTTTGCGACCCCCTGACCGCTCGCCTTTTTTCATAGTTTTTATAATGTTACAAAGATCCCAATATTTCAATCCATTTCATGAATTTGCATAATTAGATTTCGGGATTAGATCTATCTTTATAACTTTACTGTTTTTTTACTGAGGTAGTTTTTACGAACTCTCGCGACCTAGAGGCATGGGGTGAAAAACACTGTTCTAGAGCAACTTGCTCCAGAAATACTATTCTCTAGAATATCTAACTAAATAAAAAAACTAACCAAAACGAAATGGCAATGTCACGATCCCTCGCCGTTGAACCGTGCCCGATGACCCCCGCCCCCGCTCTCCAATTTGTTTGTGCACCTTTGCTAATCGATGCCACTGGAGCCCTAGCCCCTCCGTGGGGTCAATTACAACAACATATTGCTTAATGACTGACGATTTTGTTACCGAATAACAATTTGGGAAGAAATTATCTCATAGATTAATCTTTATTGAATTTCAGCGTTAATTTCTATACTACAATAGCAAATTATAATAGTAGGTAGGTACCTATACTTTAAAAAATAGGTAATGACGATTAAACGGAACTTACCTAATTACGAGTTCTTACTAATATTCTATGCGAAAGTTTGTATAGATGTCTGGATGTCAACATTGTTTGTTACTCTTTCACGCAAAAACTACTGAACGGCTTATGATGAAACTTTACAGTATTATTGTTTATAACATAGAATAACATAATTTAATTATTTAAGGCTATAATTTATGACGATCTGTGACAAATTAAATTTCACGCGGGTGAAGCCGCGGGCAAAAGCTAGTAAGCAATAAACAAACTAAAACAAAACGGTCTGCTTTTAAAAGAACATTAGTGTTATTTTGCAAACGTAGGCAGTCCAGCCTCTCTGTAGGCAGAGCTTTGTGAATACAATTTCATCAAATTGATCAGTGATAGGTAATGACTTTTCACACGCATCCGCGGCATCGCGTGCTGTGATGACGTCACCGCCGTCATTGCATATCTAACTGGTCCAGGTGCATCCCTGGTTCCCACACTCCCGCGCATTGCGTGATGCGCTCTATGGGAACAGGGAAACTGTCATTCCATTTGATGTACCTCTCGCAAATTGGGGACGGGTACTGGTGGGAATCTATTTATTATACCTATCATTAAATGCTGGGCTATTAATAATGATAATGTTTATTAAATTATGTTCAGTTTTTCTTCTGTAATTGTGTCCTAACTGTAATCGAGGTTTCTGGTAAGTAAAAGCTAAGCTTAATTTTAATACGTCTACTTAGCCATAAAATATTCAATACAAGTAGTTTAAAAGTAACTACCTAACTTTCTTTGTGAAGTTCTTTTCTTATTCTGTAGCAAGTTTTGTTTTGAAGTAGGCCGAAGTGTTTCGAACATTGGATTTTATCCATGAAATTGGAAGGTATAAGAATAAAATATATGCACAGCAGTCTACACGGCTCGAAAAGCGAATAAAATCAAAAATCCAAATCCAAATCAGAATCTAGGTGAATAGTTGACTTACCAAATTGAATGCATATTTATATGACTTGTGTGTGTGTTTTTTTTATCCTTTATTATGTGTTCAATAAAGCAATAAAATATTTAATAAAGTTGTGTATGTTACGACACCGCACCAGTGCCACGGTCTTACCGTGCCTATACACATCTTTCAACTGAATTTATTCCGCCACTTCTCAGCACCAGCTGATAATAAATGTTGTCTAAGTAGATATTGCTATTGCTATATTGGGACGCGTACAAGTGTCCTGTAAATGACCTTTAAATACTAATAAAGAAAAATAATTTGAAGGTTCGATTCACTTAATTCGCGATGACATCATCTTAGACTCGCGATAATAATATTATCTTTCAACGTTTACAATTTGTAAGTAAGTACTCTGCACTTGTCCCAGCTGAAAGTACAAACAAAGGGGACAATGTCTTTGTGTGCGAATCACACCGAAGCAAATTGAGAGATCCCCTAATAAACAGTGGGGCGGGGTGTATTAGAATACTATTAAGCTCTCAACACCCTACTCAAGCGTCTGCTTAATGGCACTTTAGAGCTGTGTAAATAGTTTTGCTCTTCGTAATGCTTCTTTCAACTTTCCACAGTGCAATACTTACCTACTAAATTAAGATGCAAGCTAGAAACTTTATATATATATTTTTTTTTTTTTATCCACAACGAGGAAGCTCTTGGTCTGTATCTCACCTGATATAACTACTTATATAGACACTAACTACAAAAGCTTATGAAAAAACAAACTTGCATTCAGTGGAGAGTTCTTTTCAACTAGGTAGGTACCTACCCTTAATTCACGACAAGTTACTTAAAATAAATGCGAAAGTTTGTATGGATGTCTGAATGTTAACATGTTTGTTACTCTTTCACGCAAAAACTACTGAACGGATTTTGATGAAACTTTACAGTATTAAGGTATTATTGTTTATAACCTAGAATAACATATTATATGGTCTATGTTTTATGTCAATCTGTGACAAACTATATTTCAAGCAGGTGAAGCCGCGGACAAGAGCTAGTCATAAAATAATTATTTAATGTAGGTAAGTAAAACAAACTGTCTTTGTAGTAAATAAAAGGATGATCGATCGAATACAAATTATTAAATTATGCCAATAATTATAGCCAGGCGAATGAAATGAACAATTAAGTAGGAACTTTTATAAATGCTTCCACCTTCATGAGCTTAATCATAAGTAGGTAGGTTAGGTACCTACTCTATGAATTGAAAGTAGGTACAACATCTACCAGGACCAAGAAATCTCAAAAGAACAAATTCTTATTAATATTTTTTGCCAAGTAAATAAAAATTACCCAGTCTAAAATATAGTCCGTTACTTCACGTGGGTGAAGTTAATTATATCCCTATCAGAACACCACCAATATTATCATAACAATGAAACGATAACGATAAAAAAGCCCTACACCGCTCAAGTGCGGGACATAATCTCTCTTTCAATTAATAAAAAACACCTTATCGAAATGTAATGTAGGATTTACATAGGGATTACGCACACGTGCAGCGCCCTCATGTTTGTGTGCTTACTTTCTGTTTGTACTGTGCTTATTTGAGAGCTTCTGAAAGAAAGCCTCTACATTGTACGCTTGAACCTAGCTGTGAATGTAACTTGAAATTAATTATCTTGGGAAAGTACCTAGATCTCCCTAGCTAGAGCCAAAATCACAATAATCGATAGAGGTGTACCTACTGAATACAACTTTACGACTTCTTTAGTGCACCACACCGAAAAAAGTATTATAAGAACCTAGAACCGAACGAAAGAACCTACCGGCAAGGAGCAATATCCTACTACTATCCTACTAATATTATAAAGGAGAAAGTTTGGATGTCTGGATGTTTGTTACTCTTTCACGCAAAAACTACTGAACGGTTTTTGATGAAACTTTATCGTATTACTAGCTGACCCGGCGAACTTTGTTCCGCCTTAATGTCAATAAATAAGCAGACTTTTTTATTTCGAACGGGATAAAAAGTATCCTATGTCCTTCTCCTGGCTCTAAACTACCTCCCTGACAATTTTCAGCTAAATCGGTTCAGCCGTTCTTGAGTTATAAGCGAAGTAACTAACACGACTTTCTTTTATATATATACACTCGCGAGCAAAAGTATGGAATCACTTACATGAAGTTGTTTCCACGCGAATTTGTGTACTAACGAATTTGTTAGGAACAAAACAAGTGGCACCATTTTAAAGATTAAATTTTTATCTTTAAATTGATACCAAATTCATTTAAATCACACCAGTATTTAAAAAGATATCCCGGCTGATGTGAAGAAGTAATGAAAAAGACATGTATGAACTGTTTGATACGTCGCGAGTTGCGGCCTATTTACCCCCTATAAAAGCACGCGTTTTCGGATTTTTGCTTTCACACGTTGATTCATACACGTCTCCGCTTCTTTTGACACTTTACCTGGGATTCTACACCTTCAGAAGCAGCACAAATCGTTGCACTATTGCAAAAAGGGCTCAGCCAGCGGGCTGTCGCACGTCAGCGCCACATAAGCCAGTCCTGGGTTTCGAAAGTTTTAAGACGCTTTCGGGAGACTGGTGGCTTTATCCCGAGACCAAGTTCTGAACAGCGCCGCTCGAAACTGACGGCAGGTCACCTATAAGCACCCTTTCAATTTGCTCGTACACATCTCGATGTTAAGTCGAGCAAGCCACTGTTTCAGCGAACCAGCACTGCACAAATCGCTCCTCAGGCCGCCTATAAACCCGACCTCTTCGACTGCTGCCCTGCAAACACAGTTTGCATTCATCGGAGAACAGAACTCGCCTCCATTACTCGCCTTCCCATCGAGATGTGTACGAGCAAATTGAAAGGGTGCTTATCGGTGACCTGCCGTCAGTTTCGAGCCTGTAGCAGGCCTTTTTGGAGTCAAATTCTATTGCTTATATCTTAGACGAACTGTCCACTCGCTAACAGCTATCTTACGAACATTTCTGAGCTCTTGATGGACATCGATTCCAGTCCAATGACGATTTCATAGAGAGGTTGACATGAAAAAACGGTCTTCCCTCTGTGATGTGCACCGGTGCTGTTCAGAACTTGGTCTCGGGATAAAGCCACTAGTCTCCCGAAAGCGTCTTGAAACTTTCGACACCCAGGACTGGCTTATGTGGCGCTGACGTGCGACAGCCCGCTGGCTGAGCCTTTCTTGCAATAGTGCAACGATTTGTGCTGCTTCTGAAGGTGTAGAATCCCAGGTAAAGTGTCAAAAGAAGCGGAGATGTGTATGAATCAACGTGTGAAACCAAAAATCTAAAAACGCGTGCTTTTATAGGGGCTAAATAGTCCGCAACTCGCGACGTATCAAACAGTTCATACATGTCTTTTTCGTTACTTCTTCACATCAGCCGGGATATCTTTTTAAATACTGGTGTGATTTAAATGAATTTGGTATCAATTTAAAGATAAAAGTTTAATCTTTAAAATGGTGCCACTTTTTTTGTTACTAACAAATTCGTTAGTACACAAGTTCGCGTGGAAACAACTTCATGTAAGTGATTCCATAGTTTTGCTCGCGAGTGTAGATTGTTTATAATTTATGACGATCTGTGACAAACTAAATTTTACGCGGGTGAGGCCGCGGGCCAAAGCTAGTCTTATCTAGTATCCTGCCTGGATTTTTATTTCCCGTTATCAACAGTCCTTTACAGAAAGTACAAAAACATATTTATTTATTTATATTATGTGTAAAGGACTGTTTGTTTGTTAATAAAACCGCAATGCAAGTTGTTTATTGGCATGTTTAAAAAAAAACTTAAAACAAGAGCGTGTCATTTGTCAAGTTAATTTCACTCAATTTCACTTCCAAAATATTTTTGACCGATCTATTACAGATTTTATTTTTAAAATTTTTATTTACTTTATTTTAAAAATGCCTATTAAAATTCTACTTGCGCGGCAAATATTCGACTCGACTGGGGTGCCGACGGTGGAAGTGGACATGGTGACCGAGCTCGGGCTGTTCCGCGTCGGCGTGCCCTCCACCGACAACAAGAAGCTGGCCGAGGCCGTGCAGCTGCGCGACAACAACCCCGCCGAGTACCACGGCATGGGCGTCAGCAACGCCGTCAAGAACATCAACACCATCATCGCGCCCGAACTCATCAAGCAAAACCTCGAAGTCACCATGCAAAAAGAAATCGACCAATTCATGATCTCGCTCGACGGCACAGAAAACAAATCCAGACTGGGCGCCAACGCTATCATGTGCGTCTCCCTCGTGGTGGCCAAAGCTGGAGCCGCCAAAAAAGGCGTCCCCCTGTACAGGCACATCTCTGACATGGCCGAAGTCACGACAATCATTCTTCCAGTCCCGCACTTCACGATACTGACCGGCGGCGTCATGGCTTCGAACGGTCTGCCCTTTCAAGAGTACTGCATAATGCCAACTGGAGCATCTTCGTTTATGGATGCGATGAAAATCGGCACAGAAATATATCGCTACGTCAAAAACATAATACGTTCCAAGTACAAAATCGAAAATATCTATGTCAGTGATAGCGGCGGATTCGCGATACCTCTGGAGAGTCATCGAGATGCGCTCCTTTTCCTGACAGACGCGATCAAGCAGTGCGGCTACGCAGGCAAAGCCGAGATAGCTATCAACGCTTCTGCAACCGATATGTTCAAAGACGGCGCCTACGATTTAGAGTTCAAGAATCCCAATTCTAACCCGCAAGAATATATGTCTTCGGATAAACTTGCTGAAATATACCTGGATAATATAAAGGAGTTTCCCGTGTGCTCAGTGGAAGACGGTTTTGAGTTCGATGACTGGGCTGCGTGGTCTAATTTGACTGCGCGTACGCAGAGTCAGGTGTTCGGGAACGATTTGACTCAGACGAATTTGAGGAGAGTGGGTTTGGCGGTGGAAAAGAAGGCGGGGAACGCCGTGGCGTTGCGTTTGAACCAGGCGGGTACGCTGAGTGAGGTGATTGAGTGTTACAAGTTGTTGAAGGCGAACCAGTTCGGCATAGTGGTGGTGGACCGGTGGGGGGACACGGAGGACCTGTTCTTGGCGGACCTGGTGGTGGGGCTCTCGGCAGGGCAGATCAAGTGTGGGGCGCCCGCACGCAGCGAGCGCGTCGGCAAGTACAACCAGATCCTCCGGATTGAGGAGGAGTTGGGCGCGCTGTCTAAATATGCCGGGAAGAATTATCGTGGTCAGATGTAATTTACAGAATTTTCAATAAAACTTTTAATTTATTGAACTAATTAATTTTTATTTATGACGTTGAAGTTGTAGTAGAAAATTCGCTTTTGGATTTACTGACGTCTTCTATAATCCATGAGTGGATCCTATGGGGGAGACGTAACATTTATTTTTCGCATATAAGTAATTTCTCAATGTTAGTTTAGGCGTGAAATACTAATAAAGTAGCTTTATTTATTTCATCCATCTACCTCACTTAATACTTAGTTCAGTCAGGGCAGGACGACAAACAATACGAGAACGTATCAATTAGCTACTTAATTATTTAGAACACCGACAGTTAGGCACCCTGCAGGTGATTAAGATTTTGGGGAACCGCGACAAATGGGGTAATGACAGGATGCGGTCATTATAGTCCCGCTATTGTGCGGCTGTAAACTGTTATTAGAACACTTGTGGCACTAGCCGATTGATTGTCAATTTTACACATGTAAGCAGTAGTGTATTTTAATTACATATACAGTAATTTATACAGTGTGTCCGGGCATGTAGTGATCAAACTTTGAGGGCGTAATCTATGGACAATTTTATCGATGAAAATACTTCAAATTTGGGGTCTGACCCATTTCTCGAAAAATTACATCGATTTAAGTTTTTAATTTTTAGTTTACACCTCTTCTTTAAAAAACAAGTGAAAGCGTGGGTAGCTTAACATTAATAGGCAAATATTTTATATCATACGATAGCCAATAAAATTATCTATTAGTAGAAGAAGAAAGCAGACACAAGTTTCATACATTTTATGGGAGTAAGAATGAATTTAATTAGAAAAATACATTACTTTTTTCACTTCTTTTTCAGTTAAGTTCCAACACGAGAAAAACCAGGTCGTTAAGGTATGTTTTATTTGCATTGTATTATTAGTATTTGAGCTATTCTACAAAACGAATGTAAATTTATTAGTCTACGTCTATTAGTTTCGACGTAATTGTTGAACAAAGATACCCCTTTCCAGCGGTTTCCATAGCGCACGCGACATGCGAAAATGCACTGCCTGAAAGAATCACACAACCTATTCCGATTACTATGGAAACCGCTGGGAAGGGGTATCTTTGTTCAACAATTACGTCGAAACTAATAGACGTAGGCTAATAAATTTACATTCGTTTTGTAGAATAGCTCAAATACTGATAATACAATGCAAATAAAACATACCTTAACGACCTGGTTTTTCTTGTGTTGGAAAATAACTGAAAAAGAAGTGAAAAAAGTAATGTATTTTTCTAATTAAATCCATTCTTACTCCTATAAAATGTACGAAACTTGTGTCTGCTTTCTTCTTCTACTAATAGATAATTTTATTGGCTATCGCATGATATAAAATATTTGCCTATTAATGTTAAGCTACCCACGCTTTCACTTGTTTTTTAAAGAAGAGGTGTAAACTAAAAATTAAAAACTTAAATCGCTGTAATTTTTCGAGAAATGGGTCAAGCCCCAAATTTCAAGTATTTTCATCGATAAACTTGTCCATAGATTACGCCCTTAAAGTTTGATCACTACATGCCCGGACACACTGTATAATTTAGACGGCCGTTTGGTGTAGTGGTTCAGAACGAACTACTATGCCGAGAGGTCCCGGGATCGATTCCCGGCCGAGCAGAAATTGAAATGATGAATTTTAATTTCTGTGATGGGGCTGGGTGTTACTATGTATAATATTTACTATGTAGGTATGTATTTACAAAAAAAAAATATTTAAGTATGTTTGTATCCGTTGTCTAGTACCCATAGTACAAGCTTTGCTTAGTTTGGGACTAGAAGCGTAGTGTAAAAATGTCCAGGGATATTTATTTATTTATTTATATCGATAATAAACCTCCTACTGCTCCTACTCACAAACACAGTCATGTCCAATCTTTATGAAAATTTTATGACGTAACCAGATCGGTTTTATTTAAGACTAGCTTTTTCCCGCGGCTTCACCCGCGTGAAATAAAGTTTGTCACAGATTATAGCCTATATGTTATTCTGGGTTATAAACAATAATACTGTAAAGTTTCATCAAAATCCGTTCAGTAATTTTTGCGTGAAAGAGTAACAAACATGTTAACATCGCGACATCCATACAAACTTTCGCATTTATAATATTAAGTAAAAAGTACCTAAGTAAGAAGACTTTAAATAAATGGAAAGTCCTCACAGCTAAGTTACTTACTACAGAATAATAATATATCACCAACAATAAAACTAAACCGACGTGTTTAAACCTATTAGGTAATTTAGTTTTATTAGCTAAGAACTAATTTCAGTAATTTAATAGTACGCTTTATCATCGAATGATTACTATTTTTTCCTCTTTCAACATAGAATTAGAGATAGACTTGTTGTTAGGGATAAAAAAAACTCTCCAAATTGAAAAATAAAAAATTGCACAGCTACAAAAATAGGCGCAATAACAACAAAAAAAAACAATGAAATATTAATCGACAGGAGAAACAGGTCAACGTAACCCTATCAATGCAGGCTGGGGTCGTGTGGTCCGTAACAGCGCGCACGTGCGCCCAACCCCCCAAAATAACACCCGGGCATTATACCACATTATACCACATTCGCAACTCGCCCCTTAAACTCACTCCAAATAATTGCAGATAAATAAACCTTAAGTTCGTGCCCACTGGGGTGTTATTGTCCGAGAATAATTAAATGTACAGCGATTAGAGATTAGCCACTTTACGTAAACAACTTTAAGAGGAACAAATGCCTGCTGCATTTCAAAGTAGCAAATATGTAATAGTATAGTTAATTAGTAGGTAGAATACTTTTCCCCGTCTTCTCAACATTTTTCATTGATGATTACTATAGGTACCTACATAACAGTCGTAGCGTGATTTTTTCTAAATTGGACTTAGTAATTCTTATAAGATTAGCGCGTTCAGCCAAAGAAAGTAAAGAAACAAACTATTTAGCTTTATAATATTAGTATAAGATTTACCATCTTTAAATAACTATTTTACTACTACTATTTAAAAAGTCCATTTACTGATCGACGTTTGAATTATGATTTTACGTAGTTTCCTTGCACCATTTTCAAATTTTCGCGTCTACAGAAAAGAGGAAACTGGGCAAAAAGTCACAAGTCAGTCCAAAACGGTATTTCAATAGTCACTTAGGCCCACTTTTTTGATTCGTAGTTAAAATAACTAATTGTTAAATTTTGCTACTAATAGTTAAATACTAACAAAATGTTTACTAATAGTTAAAAAATGTACTAAAAGTCAAGTTAACCATTGTTCGAAAAATATTTTTTTTCTGTTTAACCACTTGTCATTTGACATCTGTCAAATTTGACTATTGGTTATTTTAACTACGAATCAAAAAACTGGGCCTTAGTAAATTCTTTTTTGCAGGCAGCAACTTGCAAGCTCACTCGCTCTCGTGGTCGCGGCGCGGGGAGCGACCCCCGGGCAGCACTCTCCATGCCAAGATCTGGATACCAGAGGATCCCCGCCTCTTCAACAACGCAAACAATGTCATGGACAAGGAGGAATTAAGATAAATTCTCTTTGTTTCGCAATATAGGTATTCATTGATCTCAATTATTGTTACTAATTTCAGTCTATGGTAAGCCAGTTAAAAATTGAGGGGAAAATAGGTACCCAGTCTTACTGGGCATAAGAAGTAGCATTTGCGTACCGGACTTTAGTTCGTGCTACCCCTGACCCTACAACGTGCTACTACCTTCTGGAAGTTCTGGCTAATGATTAGTAATGATATACTAAATACATAACATGTAAAATGATTGAAACATATTTTAGAAAGTAAATTGTTCCCTGTCTCCTCATAGAAACAGCACTACAATACACACATTCATAGTATATTTTTTATTTAGGTACTTATTGATGTTCTTGTATAAAATTAATATTGAAAATAATTATTATGTGACTGGCGACAGCAGTAAAAGTATTATTTAACAATTAACTTAATTAGCTTAGAATAGAATACATTTTTGACGTTGAACTAAAGACACCAAGGAAAAATAGAGTACTTAGGTAGGCTTAAGATGTTCAAAAATCCAGTATTAGTAGTAATTATTTTAACTATTAAAAATGTTCATAATATAGCAGGTTTTAAATTGGAATTAGAATAATCAGGTAAATGTAAAGTGTTACCTTAGATATTATGGGTTAATTTATAGGTAGTTGAAAGCCGACCAACTTAATTAATACATACAGTGACGTGCTGGTGACAAGCATGATTGACATCATATTACCCTCAACCTCAACGGACGTCAATATTGCATCGATCAAATGCAGTAATTACCTACTTGAAAAATGGGTTATCAGACGTACGATATTACCTATTCTTAAAACCCGAGTGACGACATTAAGGCTGAGTTGCACCACCTAACTTTGAGGTAACTATAACGTTAACTGGTGTTTTTTGTATGGATTTTGACAGACTTTTGAGGTTTGTAAAAATGAAAGTAAGATGGTACCCAGCCTAAGTAAGTACTAACTCATTTTCTTATTGTACATACAATAGGTAATTATAAATTAAATTATTTTGTTTGAGGATGTTAGCAATTACTTGAATTTTAAATAAGTCAATTACATAGTGTTACAAGCGGGGTGATAGGATTGTAGTAAAGGTATGCTTCAGTCTGTAACAATCAATTTTAGATATAGGTACTTATTGGACCTATGTATTTACGTCATATTTTTATCCTTTTTCTATACGCCGCGGCGCGGCGCCGCGACTACGCCCGCGTGAAAAATGGGCTGCTTTTAGGATTTTCCCGGAAATTATTCGAAATTTTCTCGCCGTAAAAACCTAAAACGCTTACCAACACATTTAGCATTTTGAGATTCATTTTATTATAGATTTTCACTGAGAACTAGGTATGTCGTTGCTAAAAATTGGTATGTAACCGATAAACAATTTTATTACTTACCTTTGTAAAAATATAAAATCTTATTAAACCAAGATGTTATTTCTTTTGCTGATATTTAAAACTGTAATGTTACTTCTAACTTTCTTCATGATTAAGTAGGTATTATAATTTTTACCATAGTTTAACTACTTAATTTACATTATAGCACAGGATTGTACTTAATCTAGTCAGTGTATAGAATGGTAAGAAAAACAGAACTTATTGTACCTTTTATCCGTTCGCAATAAATAATTTATTGAATTTATTATTGATTTAACGTAGGTTGTAAGATTTTTATTATCCTAGTCCAGATCTAATCAAAATTGAAAATATGTAGTATGAGCTTATTTAAAGCAAATCGAGCATGCTGGAAATACTCTGTTAAATTAATATCGTGATTGGAGCATTTATTTCCAAAAATGTGCGAGTATTTGGGCTGTCAATAGGTACCTATTACTGTACCACCTATATGGCGTAGGTAGGTACCTACTCGTATTAGTAGGTACACCGTAGATAAGCGGTTCCGATCAGTGCTGCGTGTGCATTAAACAGGTGTTTACTTTCCCGAAGGGTGCGAATTACGCAGCGAGGCACTGACGTTGTCTTTGATCACACTTCATAGGGTAAATGTACCAAATATTCCGCTTTTCGCATTATATCGATGCCTAAGAGTGAAAACCTCTTTAGCGTAAAATTTAAAAACCCGCTTTTATGACCATAGTTAACTGCATGATGCATCCCCGAGGTTTTCAGTTTAAGGCAACGATATTCAGTTTTCAGAAAGTATAAAATATTATAAACCACGAATAAAATACCAAAACCTACGTTGGCAATACGAGTAGTGTTTAATTTTTCATGGCATCCCTGTAAGTAAAACTTAATCGTCTCGGCTTGGGACAAGCACACGAACCGCGGCGGTGCATGCGTGGTCGTCAATAAGCATACGGTTCGTCGTCCGCGAGCTTACGGCTCTCAAACTAATCAAACCTGCGGTCAGCGAACCGTAAGCGCGGAGTCCGATCCGACGCTGATTTCAGATCCGCTTACGTTTACACTTAAAGTATTTGACAGCGAAGCGGAAGCGAAGCCATTGTCAAATAATGAAAATGAACTAAAGTCGCGAATAAATAAGAGCCTACTTACACGAGGGAACTTGATACGGGTGCCCTACCCTATTTACAGGTAAAGGTACCTACTACGACCAGCCTTTAATTAAGGTTTAAAATATTATTGTTAGTAAGAGCACGCAAGGCAGACCACTTTGTGAACACAATAGCATTTACTTGATTATAAATTCATAAAGTGATATAAAAATGCAATAACTGGTTCAATTTCTATTTGCTTGGTCTATAATTAAGTTTTCTAAATTAGAAAGGACGTGGACAGCTATGAAAGACATTAGAGGAAATTAAAATGAATACTGGATTATTTTAATTGGAGAAAAAAATAAGTATTCATTTTTATTAACTACCACGCGCCACGGCATGAATAATACCTTTTATACACCTAACTACGTAGGTAACTATCCATACATACACATTCTACGAGTACTCGGTAATCACAGGATTTTTAAACGAAGGTGATATTTAAATTCTTCATAGGAGTATTAAATATTTATTTTAAAAAATCGACATCAATGACCATCAGTTTCTTCAGGGACACAAATTTAAATACCTAAGTATAGTCTTAATATACGATGTAAGACGGATTTAATTTTTAATTTAGGTAGGTAGGTAGGTTTTTACCATTTTTTTTTATTTAGTTATAGTTTAGTTTAGTAGTTATTTGTTAACATTTTGTTGTATATAAGTATAGAATATTGTTAGATTTGAATAAAAATAATGCTGATTTAGGTAGGTATGTGAATATTCTTGAACACTACAAATGCTCCAAGAGCGAATGTAGCAATATAAACAAACTTCGGAACGATACTAAATTTGGAGATTCTTGTAGTCCGTTGAACAATCTCAAGTGTGTCGAGCATAAAGAGCATAAAGTTCACCGATTTTCGGTAGCTGGGATTTCGATTATTCGGCGAGTGCTGTCATGTAGCGTTCCTGGGCGGCGCCGATCGATACACCGCGAGGATTGGCCGCACCTGCCGGTTCCCACGCCCCCTCAGCCCAGCCTTGGATATTGCAAATTAAATCGTGGAAACCAATAATTTCGCTATCACGGAAATTATAAAATTTATTACAACCCTGAACTAAAAACCCTGAATACCTTACGAAGGTTTGCATAGCTAATGCTGTTTCCTTTCGATCGACATCAAAGGAAACTTGACATTGCTTCTATAGTGGAGGATGTACCGTGCTGTCAGTTAACTGCCACTACTTTATAAAGGTTAAACTAGCTTTTGCCCGCGGCTTCACCCGCGTCAAATTTAGTTAGTCACAGATCGTCATAAATTATAGCCTATATGTTATTGTGGGTTATCCCAATCCCAACTAATATTATAAATGCGAAAGTAACTCTGTCTGTCTGTCTGTCTGTTACGCTTTCCCGCTTAAACCTCGCAACCGATTTTGATGAAATTTGGCATAGAGATAGTTTGAGTCCCGGGAAAGAACATAGGATAGTTTTTATCCCGGTTTTTGAAACAGGGACGCGCGCGATAAAGTTTTTCTGTGACAGACAAAATTCCACGCGGGCGAAGCCGCGGGCGGAAAGCTAGTAAACAATAATACTGTAACGTTTCATCCAAATCTGTTCAGTAGTTTTGCGTGAAAGAGTAACAAACATCCAGATATCCAAACTTTCGCATTTATAATATTAGTAAGATAAGATTACCCTCATTTTTAAGTGGGGTAGGTCAGGTAGGTCCGAGAAATTCATGATAACCACTAAGTACCTACTCCTTTACAAAAATCAAGAGGTGAATGTTGAGTGAGATATTACTGGAAGACTAAGTTTATACCAAGTAATATAGATGGAACCTAAAATTTAGTTATTATGTTTAGGCAATAGTGAGGAGATAAAATTAAAACCGTTTTTAATTCGTTTTCATGTTTCTTTATTTATATAAAAAAACTATTTTCACAGAAGAAACGTTCTGAAAGATGACGATAATCACAAACTCTTTCTACGAGCCAAACGAAGTACAAAAAGTTATACGTTTTAGATTATCTTCAAATTGGACTGCAGTACCGAAATTAAAACGTGGAAGGCATATTTTATTGGTAATACGTATCTCCCATCTTTACATATTTAGTTATTTTGAAAAGAGGTTGGCTATTTTCAATAACCACAATTTTTAAAAGATTTTTTTTCCACGTTATCCATGACATTTTTAGTTTTGTTCAGACCGGCTAAACTAAACTTTCAGTCATAGTTTAAAAACACTACCGTCTATGCGATACTGTGTTGTCGTTTTATCGGATATCAGCAATACAGTTTGAAAATGAACTAATACATTGCAGCTAATTATACAAATTATTTTAATAACAATACTACATTGCCAAATGCCTGGTTGTTGGGTGGGTGATATGTGACTTTTTATTTATTTAAACCAAAAGAGAACATGTCCAAGGGAACTCGATTAAAGCCGAACATGTCACCCACCTTACAATCCGTTTATCTCTTTTTTACTAAGATAATAATTCATTAGTAAAGTCGAGTACATAAATATATTGGCAGTGCCACAATATTGCAAAAGATTATATCACAGTAGCGCAGTCAGTACTGCGTTACCGCAACATATTGATGAACAGCTTATATTATTACATTTTATTGATGTTTGAATTTGTATTGAAATATTTAATCGTTAAAGCGCTTACAATATTTTTAAACATTGGCACTGCCAATATATTTATGAACTCGACTGTACCTATGAAACATAAATATCATTATGCCTAATATCTAAATTAATCAGACAAAAAATGTAAATAAGTGCTCAAGGCGTTAATGTGAACAAAATAAGACATTTCACTTGGATGTTAGCGACAATTATGTCAGTTATTTCGATAAACACACACACGTGAAACAAACCAAAGTGCATGATACTGATAACTCTTTGATATAAAAAAATGTGTAGTATGTCCACCACCACCTTTTATACGATTAGGGAAATCTTAATTATTTTAATAAGTCACAAAGCCTTTTTAACTACTTACTCGTTTACCAAAATATAGCCCATTCTCTGAGAAAAACTGAGCTATTTTAGTATAAGCTTATTAGTTTTCTATCTTACTTAACAGCATTTTATATCCTTAAATTCAAATTTTCTGTCGCTAACATCCAAACCATTATATTTACATAATTCAAATTCATTTATTATAATAATATTACACTTTATTTACCTATTTGCAGCAAAATAAGTTGATGCATTTAAACTAACAATATTGAGTAAGAGTTGGTAAATCTTCAGACTATAAAATTACATTATGTATTACTCTACTTTTAAAATACTCTTAAATATAATAATATGTATGTGAATAGTAAATTATTATCACGTTATTGTTTTATCTCCGAGGGTTAATTAACTAATTTTAATATTAACATTCGACCAGTCTATGTACAAGGCAACTTGAACTTTTTCTAGCGCCACTGTTTATGGTGCCAGCAGAAGAACTGGCACCGTCACAAGTGTATGTAGTAGAATCCAAGAGTAGAATATATGGTAAAAGACTCAAGTATAGTCGCCAGAACATGAAACTACAGGGTGTTAGGTAAATGGGTATATGAGCCCAATGAAGATATTAATTTTCAGATTTGACCATACCATTTATACAGGGTGTTAGGTAAATGGGTATATGAGCCGACACTAGCCCATGTTAACATGGGCATATAAATGGTATGGTGAAGTCAGAAAATTGATATCTTAATTTTAATAATTTTAATTTTCATACAAATCGGATTTTATAAAATTTATTTTGTATGAAAATTAAAAAAAATAAAATGATGATATCAAATTTCTGACTTCACCATACCATTTATCGATGGCTCCTACGTATAAAGGCGAAACTGCCGCTTACGCCTTTTTCCAATTATTTAAGGAATGATTTCATTTTGCTCTAATCTATAACGTCAGTAAGAAAAAAAAATTTTTTTCCATTAGATACAAAATAAAATTGTAGGCAAATAGGCGTATGTGCAAAATTACGCCACGTATAAAGCCCAATCATACGATTCGTCAATCTATACGAGTAGTTGCTTACATAAATATATATTTTTTATAATCCAAATCTTAAATAAAGCCATGAAAATATATAGCAAATTGTTTTATTTATAAATTTTGACACATTATATAGTTATTTAATTTTTAGCGTTAAGAGTCGCATCTCAAACTAATTTGAAAATTATAAATAACTTGAAAAAATCGAACTGCCTAAAGGCATTGTGGGTTAATTCCCGCCTTAGGCAGTTCGATTTTTTCAAGTTATTTATAATTTTTAAAAATATGACACATTATGTTAAAAGACCTAACTAAATCTCGAGCACAGTATATGGGCGTATTTGCGTTAAAACGTAATAACGATACATTAAACAACTTTTTCTAACTGATTTATTATTAATATAGCACATGATAACAATTAAAATAATTACATGCATAAATAAAGAGAGTAATCGCTTAGAATATTATATTTACGTTGTCATTTAAGTCTCTTTACGTTGAACAATATAAATTAAATTATAGAAATGTGACGACGTAAAAGGGCAATGCGTAAAATCTCAAAATATATAAGAAAAATATAAAAAATAATAACAGCAGTAGCAAAAGCATTACATGTTAAGGCTAAATGTGAAATTTCATTAAATTCGTTTTAGTAGGTCAGAAGATATGACCCAAAAATATGGTTCTGGCCACTAAAATGGCTCTCCTGTAAAATTTACTTTTTTCACTTACGCCAGTATACGTAGGAGCCATCGTTATATGCCCATGTTAACATGGGCTAGTGTCGGCTCATATACCCATTTACCTAACACCCTGTATGCCCATGTTAACATGGGCTAGGCTAGTGTCGGCTCATATTCTCATATACCCATTTACCTAACACCCTGTATACATATTTGAAGAAAAACAAAAAACATCACCTATTTTATCTAAATAAGACGACATGGTATTGTATTAAGATTAATGTGCTGCCGAGCACTATATTCTTGCTCGAAATGTGTACAGACAACGGCACATCAAACTTAACTTCGTAATATCTTACGTAGTTATTATAACAGTGCTGTTTTGGAACAAAAATGTTTAGTCCAAGGTGATGACGACTGTACATAGATTTGCTAAAAATTGCGTGTTTAGTCAGTAAATACAAAAAGGTATAATATAAGAAGTTATTAAGAAATAAAAATATCAAACATACTTTAGGTTTAAGCGTAAAATACAATTCGGAATCAACTTTAATACTCTGTCAGCACTCATCAATCGCAGATGATGCGGCCGTAACTGATAGATGAATTGGAAGATGATAAAAGAGCTAGCGTGTGATACTCAATATAAGAGTTAATTGTTTAATAAAATCGTGACATTATTTGAGGAAGATGACGTTAAGTAGTAGATGCGACTGTTAAATATTGTATCAAGGAAGCGATATTATTGGGAAGAAAGATTTAGTTTAAGATATAGTGCTAGATTAGAATATTTAGATAAATGTAGGTTTACTAGAACGAT